GTCCCCTCCGGAGCGGCGTGGTCTGAGTATGAGTTGCTGCAGAGCAGAGATACACCTTCAGCCACATAACTATAGCGGTCCTGGAGCTTTAATAACGGCTCGCCAAAAGTATAAAAATCTCTAACGCTGGCTGGGGTCTGGCTGTTAGTGTATTTAATAAGCTGCAGGTTTTTTATGAGCGGAGCACGCATTGAAAATGATCTGGTTTAACAGCTTAAAAACTAGCTAGCACGTAGCTACACTTGCATAGTCCCATATAAAATACCTTATGTGAAACCAATATAACATTTGTAACTATTTAAACTAATGCTGTCAAAATGATCGCGTTAACAGCGGTAGTTAATTATTTGAATGAATTGCGTTAAAATATTTAACGCATGTGCAGAATGGCCCGCCCCATACATCCCACCAGTGGCAGCGCCAGGGTATGGCTGGGGTAGGCTACAGCCATACCAAGAAATGGCTTATCCCCACCTTAGCCCCACCATGAAAAATGATTTTAAAGTAAGCAAAATAAAGTCTGCCAACTCGCGCCGAGTAAATTGCACAGACAGCAGTTTGTGAGATTGATTTCAGTAGCCACTTGTCTGGAAATACTGAAGACTAGAAACGGTTTTGAAAACTTTTGTCACGTAGTGATTTCTTCTGGCCAATCAGAATCAAGATAACGGCGTGGTGTTGTTGCAGGAAGTCCCGACGGAGAATACTTTTGCTGTTGATAGAAATCAACACGTAATGAAATAAGACCCCACGGTTTGATGAGTGATAGGTGTGTGGGCTGTCTTTCATTTTGACACACAGAACAATGTTATAATAAACATACTGTATGTTAAATGGATATATCCGCCTTCTTTCATTTATCTTTCCATTCCCACAACAATATACATAAAGAAGTGGTATATTTTGGACATCGTTCGAATGGTGATTAATCATGATTAATTAATTGTTAAGCTGTGATTAATCTGATTAAAAATGTTAATCGTTTGACAGCCCTAATTTAAACTTTTCACTAGTCAAACCGACACAACAAAAAATCGCCACTTGCATGATAAATGTATGAAAGTTATCTGGTTAAGCCATCCTTAAAAAATATTGTTACACGTGGTTACACTTTGCTAGCTAACACATAGCCAAATACAAAGACAGATGGTAAATTAGTTTATCTTGACACAATACTAAATGGATAAACATTTAAACATAGTTTTAAAAAAAAAAAAAAAACATTTCAAATCCTTACCTTATTTAAAAGTGTTTTTGGGTCAGACACTCTCACAGACAGCGGTGTAATGGCGGCTGCAGCAAATCTTGAAGTCACCTTGCTTTGTACGTCACGTGGTCATGTGACATGCTTGGAAGTGAAAATAACGATTTAGGTTGAATATTGTTTTTAAGTTATTTCAGGGGGGTGTTTTGCTTCTGGGCAAACGGAAAAAATCATGTCAAAAACGGAAACCATGATTCTTAATTAGATCAATTTAAAAATGTACTTTGATTAAATGACACAGTCGTTGCACTTTTTTCAGTGTAGCGATATTTAATACTTCATGCTATCTGCACAAACTAGATATCATATGAAAGCTGAGATTCCACAGATTCCATTAGTATAAGTATATAAAAACTCACTAAACTAGCAGCCAGGAAAGACAACACACAACTTCACTTCACGGGGCCAAAACGGCAAATACATCTTACCTTTGCTGTATCAAAAGTTGTGTTCAAGGGCATTAAAACGCATATAAACACTGCTGAAGGTTCATCCAATGGCTCTGTGTCACTTTGAAATGATTACTGATAATCCATCATAACATTTATGGCAATAAACGTATTTTTCATATAGAGTGTAATGGAGCTTCCGGTGTTTGGGCAAGCTGTGTGCGCATCATTCTAACTCACCGTGGTAATGTTTAGATGGATTTAGGAACCACCCCTCGATTATATTGGCTCTAACTGTTACAAAGAGGTGTCAATCGCTCAAATCGACCAATGGGTTCCAGAGATACGGCAAATACACCCAAATGTACCCAGAGGTGAGTCTGCCTGGACCTACTTTTTCTAAACCTCTCTAAAAAGGTAAAATTGCACTTTTTTTGCATCAATCTTGATACAGGGTACTTATTATATGTTATATTTAGGATTCCTAAAGGTGTTGGGCTACTATCCCATCATTCAAGGGTGGTTTTCACTATAAGTAATGTTTTTTTTTAGACGGAAACTTTAATTTAAATTGTTTTACTATGTTCAATCTGAATTTACTTTAATATGAGAAAATCTATATTGATTCTGACACTTGTACATCCAACTCACAGGTGTATCATTGCTTTGAGAAAAAAGATTATTCATTTACCCCTATTAGAAGTGAAAATATAGTCATTTGTTCTGGGCATGTCATTTTTGAGCCTGAGGCCTGAAAAACAGGCTCAGGGCTGAACAGGTTAATGCAACTGAATTGGGACAGTTGAAGAGGTTTTTTATGTATTTAATTTCACCGGCCACCTATGAGGATCTTCCTCTGAATTCTGCCGGAAGAGGTTTTATATGTAACTGAAGAGGGCCAGTTGAAGAGGTTTTTACGAAAGTAAATAAAAAAATGTAACCGGAGAATGAACACCGGATGGAAATAATTGTATGATTAGATGTAACGGGAGAAGGTAAACATCCTCTAAAAGTGTGGACCGTTTATTTGAATAAAATCACCACCCTTTTGGACTGGGATAACTTAAAATAATTCTGCAAGGGGTTTATCCTAAATTAATAAATGTCAATATAATATATGGATCTGGTCAGTTCAGTAGCAGAGAGGGTTGTTAATCAGTTTCAGCTGCTTTGGTGAAAGTAACAAAAGGTGCACTAGAAGGGCAACAACGAGACGACCCCCAAAACAGGAATGGTTTTCCAGGTGGAGGCATGATTATTTTTCCCCATTGAGATCTGATTTATTTTCTAAGTGTTCCTTTAATTGGTTGTGTTGTTGGATATAGTGTGCAGCAGTGAGAGGTTCACGTTCAATGACTGGAGATGTTGTATCTGGTACAATACCAACAAGTTATAATAAACACACCTGTAGTACACTATTGGTTACTTGTGCAATACTTCAGGCTCACATTCATAAGATTTTTCTACGAAACAAATGAAGACTGGACGGGCAAAAATGGGAACCACCTCCAACATTGACAAAAGGAAATTAAGTATTTGGTACCATCCCCAGTGAAATGCTTGATACCAATTCAATGCTCCGGTAAAGTAATTATTAGAGATGCATTGAGTGATTGTGAAATCAGAATGTATTACAGAACTTAAAACATGGCCTTTATTGGCTAAAGGTAAAACTGGTCAATGTGTCTTCTGAGATATACCATGTAAATTTGGAGAAGTGTCAACTTCTGATATCATTTTTATTTATTCATCTTACAGGGTCAGTGCTAATTTCCTTTTGTTAATCAACATTTCTTTAAATGTGCCAGACTTAGCCAAGTAGTTATTTTTCACCTGAGGTCCCTGGAGAGATTTTGATAGTCACCCTGCCTCACCTGCCGCCTCCACTTCAGACAGCTTATGAATATGACTCCGGGTTACTGTGAGACTAACCAATACATTTTGATTCATAAAAAATCATAAAAATTAAAATGCATACAAAGGGATTTGAAAATATATTTGTAATTACATTTCACCACCAGCTAGATAAAAAGAAGAGTCAATAAGAAATGGTACTTGAAAACATACTGTATGGCATCATATGGTGTTTCAAATATAATGTCTGGGTTGTTGTAGAAAAGTTATTTTATAACGTCAAAGACATAAGTTAATTTAGCTTTTGTATAACCATTTTATAAATATTTTGCATTGAATTAATACATTTCATCCATTTTCTTGTGAAAGTTTAGCCTTTTTTTATTATTGATATAGGTGTATATTACAATGTTACATTCTTATATTAAAATAACATGCCGGTGACATTTGTCTGTGGATTCATGAATGAATTACTTGAACATTTTTCCCATTATAAAATTCAATGCTGAAATCATTTCACTTCCTCAGATCCCACATTATTCAGAGTTGCAATTTTTACCATTTTGTTAGAGTATTTTTTGCAAAATTGTTAGACACTTCATCTTTTTCTGCCACCGGCCAACAGTTTATAACAGAGCACATGTTTACATATGTTTCTTAGTTTGGACATTTGCAGTCCGTACATGACAGGGTTCATTAGTGGCTGTATGATGAGAAAATACAGTGACAGAATAATACGCAGCACACTGGGAACACCGCTCATATCAAATCTACTCTGAAGTATTTCAAAGCTGCAGCCAAAAGAGAAGTTGAGGAGGGAAACAAGGTGAGGTGTGCAGGTACTGAGAGCTTTCTGTCTGGTCTGTTTGGAGCCAGAGAAACACACTCTGAGGATCCTCATGTACGAGAAGAGGATTGGAAGCACCGTGACTAAGATTGAGAGAGAAACTGAAAAAAGTCCATAAATGTTGTTCACCTGAGTGTCAGAACATGCCAACTTCACAACAAGGTGGTTGTTACAATACAAACTGTTAATGATGTTTCCACAAAGTGTCAAACGGAGGTTTAAAGATAGGGTTATCAAGAACTTCACAAAAGAGTACAACCAAAGCAGAAACCAGGTCCATTTTCGAAAACACCAACGTACCGGCCAGATGTGCTGAAAAGCCTTGAATGTGCGGCACCGGGTCGGGTCAGGTGTCGTGGCGTCGTTGAGGCGGCGGCAATCCCCACACGGGCGCCAACCGCCGTTCGGCTTGGGAACGACGTGCAGAGGAGAGGCCCAAGGACTGTCAGAACGGCGGACGATACCCAGGCGTTCCATGGTTGAAAAATCCGCCCTCGCTACTGCAAGCTTAGAAGGGTTCAACCGCCGGGCCCTAGAGTAGACTGGGGGACCCTCAGTGGTGACGTGGTGCTCCACCCCATGCTTGGTGGCGAGCGCGGAGAAGGTGGGTTATGTCAAGTCTGGAAATTCAGCCAACAGCCTGAGAAAAATGTCCGCACCCGACAGCGAGCCTGACAGCCCGTCGTACGCTGCCTTGCCAAGTGTACACACGAGGGAGGAAAACGTCAAGGCATCAACCAAGCGTTTATTTTTAACGTCCACCAGGAGTCCGTGAGCACATAAAAAGTCTGCACCGAGGAGGGGAAAATAAATGTCTGCCGTCACAAAATCCCAGTTGAACCGCTGTCCTCCAATACACAAACACACAGGCCTGACGCCGTACGTGCGAATGGGGCCGGCATTAGCCGTCGTCAACCACGGTCCATGTCCCCCACGAGCGACGTATTCACTCGAAGCAGGAACTTCACTCCGTTGAGCTCCTGTGTCACACAGAAACAAGCTTCCTGAGACTCTGTCGCTGACGAAGAGAAGCCTGCTCGTGCCGCCAAAGCTCAGGGCCACTACCGAGCGCTGGCTCCCCTGTTTCCCGGAGGCTTGTAGCTGCAGGGAGCGACACACTTCTTCGCGCTGGCCCCGAACCGCGCGTGGTAAAAACACTCTCTTGTGTCTCCACGCCGGCTTATTACTGTCGCGTCCAGCCTCCCCCAAGCCTTCTTATCTGTTGAGGGGGCGCTGAGTGTCACAGCTAGCGCCTCTGCACCGGGCTGCTGGGTAGCCAAGAAAAAACGGTAGGCCTCTTCAGCCAATGCACGGGGCTCCATAATGGACGTGTTGGCTAGCGCCGTCTGAACCTGGGAAGGCCATAGGCGCAGGAACATCTCCATGAACAAAACCCAAGGGTCTTCCCCCCCTAGCAGATTCAGCATTTTCTCCATCAGCTGAGATGGCTTGCTGTCCCCTAGGCCTTGAATGTCAAGAATCTGGCGGGCCCTCTCCTTAGCAGATAAGCTAAATGTCTTAAGGAGAAGGGCCTTAATCGCCTCATATTTGCCATGGTGCGGGGGGTCTGCGATAAATCCCACCAACCTGGATGACGTGGAGCTTCCCATTGCTGCTACCACGTGGAAATATTTCAAATCCCTGTCACGGACTTGTCGGCAGGCAAAGTGTGCCTCCACGTGTGCGAACCACGCTGCAGCGGCATGCTTCCAAAACTCCGGCAGTTTAACAAAAACACCGCGATCAGCCATGTTCATTGAGTCTTCGGAAACTTTCTCGAAAACTTCGGGGTCACCAGTGTAGAGCCGATGAAAGGGAGTCAGAGGCGGTGTGTTCAATATGGAATTCCACACTTTATTATCCATTAATAATCAAGACAAGGTAAGTACACTTGCTGCTCTGCATGTCAAGCTAGCATGAATGACACCAAACCCCGGTGCCCTCACTAACGGGTCCGGGTTGCAACACAATCATCTCAACGGTGAATTATGTCCCATAACGTCTCACCACAATGTATGCATATTTATTGCCTCATTTCAGAATTTATTTCATAGGCATATTTATTTATATATG